GCACATGTCTGCTCTTTAGAGTGGGACAATCACGGCGTTGGTGTGACTCATTGAGGGCTCTAAGGATCAGAAACCTCTGATCTTCCAGCTGGGGCGAGGGACCAGAGGCCTGGGGTTGAGGACCAGGCTCTGTCCCTGCTCTTCTGCCCTTGTGGCTCCTGAGAATATGGAGCTTCCACAAATGTCCCGAGGTACCCCTGCCTTACTGGCGGTTACTTTAGCCTCTCAGCAGGTGAAGAAGCCACATTCCTTTCAATATGCTTGAGGCTCTGAGGCAGAGCACCCCAACCATTGCTGCAGTCCTCAGGTGTACCCAGACATCCACTTCCACAGCCCCTGGGACAGTAGGCAGGGTTGGCGTCAGCCCCTGTTGAGTTGGCCTCTAAGTGTCCCCTGCTGCCATCCCCCAGTCTCTTCTCTGCAAGCGGTCAGCGAAGAGGGTTAAAACCCAGGTCAGATCCTGTCTTACTCTGCTTAATCCTGCTGCTGCCCCCAGTGAAGCCCACCTCATGTAGTCAAAGTCCTCATGTGGCTCACAGGCCCCATGCAATCTGCCCCTCGCCTCTTGGTTTTTCTCTCCTTCTATTCCCCACTCTTACTCTACAACCTGGGCTCCTTGCTGCCTCTCAAATCTACCAAATGGGCGCCTGCCTCAGGACTGTTGCCATGGCTGTTCGCTCTGCCTGGATGTTCTTCCTCTGGATATTTAAATGCCAGCAGCTTTGCCTCCTTCAGGTCCCTGTTCCAATATCTCATTCTCAGCAAGGCCATCCCTCATCACCCTTTTCAACACTGGCTTCCCCAAGCCTGTTACTCCACTCCAGTTTTCCCCATTGCACCTTTATTGCCCAACAGACAATATTTTGATCTATTATGATTACTGTTAATTGTCTTTCTTTCTCTCTGTCTAGTAGAACATCAGCTCCCTGAGATCAGAGTTTGTTTGTTTTTGCCTGTTTTGTTCACTAATATTTTCCCAGCACCTAGAATGATACTTGGCATAGAGTAGGCCCTTGAAAACATTGGTTGAACTTATAAATGAAATGAGTGTTCCATACTGCACTGCCCAGTATAGTAGTTGCATGTGATCATTTAAATTTAACTTCAAATTAATAATAACTGACTAGAATTAAAAATTGAGTTTCTGAGTCATACCAGCCAGATTTCAAGTGCTCAGCTACATGTGGATAGTGGCTGCTGGATTGAGCAGTGCCACTGTGCAACATTTCCATCATCACAGACAGCACTATTGGATGGTACTGTTCTTTTTTTTTTTTTTTTTTGAGACGGAGTTTCACTCGTTACCCAGGCTGGAGTGCAATGGCGCGATCTCGGCTCATCGCAACCTCCGCCTCCTTGGTTCAGGCAATTCTCCTGCCTCAGCCTCCTGAGTAGCTGGGATTACAGTCACGCACCACCATGCTCAGCGAATTTTTTGTATTTTTAGTAGAGACAGGGTTTCACCATGTTGATCAGGATGGTCTCGATCTCTTGTCCTCGTGATCCACCTGCCTCGGCCTCCCAAAGTGCTGGGATTACAGGCATGAGCCACCGCGCCCAGCCATACTGTTCTAAGAACATGCTATGGAGACTCATCCATGCACCCAGCAAGTGGTGTGAACACGATCATCTTCTATGTGAGCCCTGATGCACCCAACGGGTGGGCCAGTCCAGCGGATGCTGTCCAGCTCTGGGAAAGCTCATACTAAGCGATGAATTGGTCTTAGAGGCTTTGATCTAGATCTCTGCACAGCTCTCCACTCTCTCTGAGGCTCGGGACAGCTTCATCCCTCTTCCTTGACTCTTCCAGTTCTCCATGGTTCCTAGGATCTCTGGGTTCAGCATGCTCTCCCTGGTATTCTCTCAGGCCTGGCTCAAGCTCATCTGCCCTCTGGGGTGTTCTCTCTGCCTCCCATACTCAGCCTGTGCCCCATCCCCTTCCCAAGGCTTGGCCCCACTGGCAGAGCTGCCTCCCCTTCCCCGGAGTCCTCAAATAGAGCCAGCCTGTGTCTTTGGGCCCCCTCTGGTCCTCTGTTTCAGTATGCTGGTTCCTGCTTTTCTGCTTCCCATGTTCAAGCTACTCATTACACTTGTGATGCATTTCTATTAAGAAAAATCCCTCATAGATCCAATAACAATGATAGATGTCATCGGAATACCTACCATTTGCAAGAGATGCTGAAGAGGCAGCAGGGTACAATGGTTACGCACACATGCTCTGGAGCCAGACTGGGGGTTCCCATCCTGGTTTTGCACACACCAGCTGTAATGCCTTATCCTGGGCAAGTTTCTGAAACTCTTTGTGTTTTTTTCCTAGAAATATCCCCTTTCTGTAAAATGGGGCATTCATAATCTCTGCTTTGCAGGGTTGTTATGAAGATTCAAGGAGTCAGGATTCATAAAGTTCCTAGGTCAGTGCCTGGCAGAGTAAGCCCCACATGAGGGTCTGTTACATAAAGGAGTGGGCCATGCTTAACCCACTTAGCCCCAGGGAAATGCCTCTCTGATGGTGGAAATCCGGGCCTCAGGGATTTTTGGCTGGCAAACCTCATACAAGCTAGAAAGTGGGAGTCTCGGGCAGTGCCTGAAGCTGGTTGGGCTGGTAGGGAGGCATCTTGGCTTCAACATTTGCAGCAGGATGGGTCCCCTCCCCAGTCCCTCATAAGACTCTTGTTCAGAAGACATGTGGAAGAAGCATTAGTAAAGGCCTGGCTGAGCAATGGCAGAGAGAACAGGGAGCTGAGCCCAAGGGAGCTGAGCCCAAGGGAGCTGAGCCCCAGCAGGCTGCCTCTCTGCTCATCTCCCAGGGTTAGGCCTTAGCTGGTAAGAGGTGAAGATCACCCATTGAGAGGCCCTGTGTTTGCTCCCTGACTTGGGAGGCATGGCGGACGCAGCTGCCTGGCAAAGACATGGGAAAGTCACAGTCCAAGTGTTTGGTGGGGGCAACAGTGTCAGGTAGGGAGCGTCACCCTGCTCCATGGGGCTCCTTCAACCAGGGGATAAAGCCAGGAGGTGGAAGTCCAGGCACTGGCACCGCACCATTGGGGTTCAAGCTCCAGTGCTGTCACTGACCAGCAGCGTGACCGTGGGCAAGCTACGTAACCACCCTGTGAGAGGGGGCCGATGATAGAGCCCCTTTGCAGTGTTGCTATGAGGATTAAATGAGCCAATCCCTGTGATTTGAACAGTGCCTTGTCCCTAGTGAGTGTTTAATCTGTGCTAGTGTTTGTGACTGAGGATAGAGAAGTGAATCCAGGCCTGAGGTTGGAGATCGACTCGTGGGTCGGGTGCACAGCCAGCTCCACAGGCCAGCTGTGTGAGGTCTGGCAGTCTGTCTTGGTGCAGACGGCTGGGGCCAGCCTTCCCCCGATCCAGGCACTTAACTTGCTGACTCACCAGGCAAGGTGTCTGCAGCTTTTCCCAGTACTCCTCTGCCCTCGCCATGTACAGATCCTAGGAACTCCAGGTTGAGAAGGGTCCTGAGAGCCACCTTGCTTATCAGCACTTCCCTAACAGGCCTACCTGGCTGTCAGCGCCCTCTGCTCACACACTTCCAGGGACACGCCAGGCATTCATCCCAGCTCTGGACAACTTTGAGTGACTCACTGGGGCCATGGTCTGCCAGCCTGCGACTTCCTCCCACCAGTCCAATGCGACCCCACAGCTGCCCAGAACAAGCCTGTTTCTTTCTTTTCTACATGTTGATGCTTCCCATATTGTGAGGCCACTGTCTCATCCCACCTTGACTTTTCACTTCCCCAGAATTAACATTTCCATGGCTTCCAACCATTTCCTCATAGCACAGTTTCTGGTTTGCTTGCATGCTGGCCCGTCTGATCATATCTGATCACATGCCAGTCTGTCTTTGGTCCTTCTCTTGGGGGTTCTGAGCAGTCAGACCCTACATTGCTCCAATCAGACATCATACTTCTTGTGAACCCCATCCCCCTCCTGAAAGTACACTGGATTCTCTAGAAGCCACATCCCATTGGCGGGCACACTGAGCAGACTGTCAATGGAGAGACCCGGTGCTCTCCAAGGGCTGCTGTTCAGCCACATTGCTTAAACAATGTCCCCACCACTGCAGGCTGAACTAACCCAGGCCAGCTCTTGAGCCCATGTAGGGCCTGCCTCTCTCTTTCTCCCTCATTCTGTGTGTGTCCTCATTCAGGTCTCTATTGAGGTAGAAGTTTTCTCTGTGTTTAATTGTCCTTAGCTTCCGGCCCCCAGGGATTAGGTTGGCATAACTTAGAGCAGGCGTCCCCAAACTACGGCCCACAGGCCGCATGCGGCCCCCTGAGGCCATTTATCCGGCCCCCCGCCGCACTTCAGGAAGGGGCACCTCTTTCATTGGTGGTCAGTGAGAGGAGCACAGTATGTGGCGGCCCTCCAACGGTCTGAGGGACAGTGAACTGGCCCCCTGTGTAAAAAGTTAGGGGATGCCTGTCTTAGAGGAAAGAGTATAGGCTTTGGACTCAGACAGAAATTTCTCCTTGAAGGCTAGTTCTGCCCCCGACCAGATGTGTGACTCTAGAGCATGACTTTCCTCTCTCTGAACCTGTTTCCTCATGTGTGAAATGGGAGAGTAATACTAGCCTTCTGTGGTGAGTGTGAGAAATCACGCAAGATAGATAGGAATAAACATGTCTGCTCCTTTCCTGGGCCATTTGGTACCACAATGATGGTGACTACAATGATGCTAGTTGTCATTTATCTCCTGGAGAAGCTGAGAGGAGTCAGCCCAACAACAACTTATCACTTACAGAAAAAATGCAGAAGGTGTCAGATCAATTATACCTTGTTGTAAACATAGACGTGTGCGAAATGAAGATTCCCCGCCAGCTGTGCCCAAGACATGCTAGAACAACCAGCAGACACCAAGTAAACGCCAACTGATGATGAACCTGATCGGACCATTCGCCCCAGTTGGCAGATCCATAATTTCCTAGGGGCATCACCCAGAGCAAAGCCAGCACCAGCCTCCTTGAAAACGCTATCGCATGCTCTCTTTGGCAGCACCTCTACTAAAACTGGAACCATGCAGAGGTTAGCATGGTCCCTGCGGACGGACGATAGCACATTTGTGAAGCGTTTTATGTCTGTGTGCCATTCTGATACATGCTACAACTTGCGTGAACCTTGTGTGATTCCACTGACATAAAAAACCTAGAGTAGTCAAATTCATAGAGACAGAACATGGCAGAGTGGCTGCTGGGCACTAGTGGGAGGGAGGAATGGGGAATTCTTATTTAATGAGTCCAGAGTTTTAGTTTGGGATGATAGAAACATTCTAAGATGGATGGTGATGGTGGCTGCAAAACAGTCTGATGTATTTACTGCCAGCAAATTGTACACTTGAATGTGGTTAAAATGGTAAATGTTATGTATCTTTTACAATAAACAATGGCAATGAAACATTGCAAAGCCAATTCTACCAGGTGAGCAGGAAGAGGAGAGGTTGTTGGAAATAGCTGAGTCACTTCAGGGAGGCTGGTGAGCCTCCGAGTGGCAGTCACCATCGGCAGGGGCTGCTTGGTTCTGTTGTCAGTGGGCTTGGGTGACCCTGTCAGATCTGGGGAAGGAGACCACCTTTGGGGAGGGGTAGAAAGACCCCCCTGCCCATCTGTCTGCTATTCTACATGTGCCCCAGTGGGTGAAGAATAGGGCAACTCCAGAGCAGAAGTTGGCAGGTATCAAATGCCTGGGAAGAGGGTGCTGAAGATAGAGCATGGTGGTTGACAGCCCCTGGGCTTGGGTTCTAACCACGCTCTGGCGCTGACTAGCTGTGTGACCCTAGGCAGCTTCCATACCCTGTGCCTCAGTTCAACAGGAACACTAGTACCTACTGTGTAGGAATGCTGGCAGGACTAAACAAGGTAAAGTGTGTTAAATGCTTGGGGTGTCTGGCAATAAATGAAGGAATGGCAAACACTGGGTTTTGTTTCAGCGACAATGGTGAAGTCAACAGTAACCCTTTGTCTTGGTTTACTTGTAGTGCTTAACAGAATACTACAGACTAATGTATGTTTTTAAAAAAACAACAGAATTAATTTTCTCGCAGTTCTAGAGGCTGGAAGCCCAAGATTAAGGCGCCAGCATCTAGTCTGACGAGGGCCTTCTTTCTGTATCTTCACATGGCAGCAGGTGGGAGGGCAAGAGACAGAGAGCTCCCTCTGCAGCCACAGCCCTCATGGCTCATCACCCCTTACAGGCCCACTTCATCCTATCATTGGGGATTAGGTGCTAACCTCAGAATCTTGAAGAGGATGCAAACATTCAAACCATTGCGCCCTTAATAAAGCAAATCTGGTAAAATGAAGCACTCAGTCATTTCATGGAGGAGTATTTGCGCCCCGCCTTTTCCCTCAATTATTACCCTCTCCCTCTGTTAGGTCAGAAGCTGTATCAGAAGAAGGAACCTGTATCAACCCCCAGGGTGAATCTGTGCTCTAGTGAAGAAGGTTTACTGACTGCACCATGCTAGGTGAGTCACTTCCCATCTTTGAGCCTCACCCTCACGGTTTTCTCACCTGCAAAATGGGTTAATAACAGCAATCATATGGTGTCTTTGTGAAAATTAAGTACAATGCTATTTTTTCAGTACAGAGTATGCGGCTTAGAGAATGTTTATGCAATAGAAAGTCGCCATGATGATGTTTGCATTTGGTATTTGAAGATCATTTTGAAAAGTTGGCCCCACCATCTGCTAGCTGAGCAATCTTAAACAAGGAGATTTCACTCCCCTGAATCTCAGCCTCCTCATCTGTCAAATGAGAATGATAATGCTACCACTTCCCCCCATAGGACCGCTGGGAAAACCTGCTAAGACACGCATCTGCTTGGACGCAGATGTAAGTAGTGGAGCATTCACAAATGCGAGGTGCCCATTTTTTATAATGGGACAGCCAGCACTTTGGCATGAATGAGTGATGGAGAAACTTACCGACATTGCCTTGGGGGCTGCTCCAAGCTGCATGCCTGGAGGCAGGCCCCTCCCCCCCACCCTGGTGAGAGACTCGCTGGGCGCCCATTTGCTGAGTTGCCACATCATCCTGCCTGCCGCCTCACCCCAAGGAGAGGTGCCCTTTCCACCCAGCGGTCAGGAGGAGCCCACTCAGCACTTCTCTGGGCTGTGTTTCTGCTGATCCTCCCCAGATACCTCTGTCTCTAACAAGCAGGCTGGCCAGCAAGGAACTAATTAAGGGTGGGGAGAGTGCTGGCCTTTAGAGGGAGGTCTCAGGTGGGCAGCGGGGCAGTCACGCTGTCCAGCCAACGGGAAGGCCCTGACGCACTCCCGACCCTGGAGTCAGCAGGAGGGAGGATGGGGGAGCAGAGCCGTCCTCACCCACCAGCCATCCTCATGTCCAGGGTGGAGGACGAGGCTCTAATGCCCACTCCGTCACGACTTTGTTCAGCCTTGAGCAAGTACCTTTCCTTCTCTGTGCTTCCACGTTCACTTTTAACATTTTAGAATTTTGCAAGACCATCATTGGAAGAGGGGTGATGGGAGCAAGAGGGAGGCAGAAGGAGGGGGATGGGACACTGGGGCTGTGGGAGTAGGGGTAGCAGCATGTTCCCGACCCTGAAAGCACACAGGAGTCAGCATCAAAGTGACCTGGGCTCTGGCTCAAATCCCATCTCCACAATTTACTGACTATATCTTTACTCCATTACTTAACTTTCCATAGCTTTTGTCTTCTTTTTGGTAAAAGCAGTTTGCAAACCCAATTTGCAGAATTAAATAAAGATTAGAAGTAATGTACACCAAGCACTGACATTCAGCATATACTCAATAAATCACGTATGTATCTAGTGAATGCTGACATACTTTATTATTGTCTATCCTCTGTCTATTTATCTTTCCATCATCTCTTTTATAGGCAACACGAACACTGTCTATTTCACCCACCTCGCAGCAGGACCTCTCCTGATGGCAGATGATGAGCCATCTGAGGGCACAGGTAGTTTTAGGGGTTGGAGTCTCTGCCAGATGGGCAGAGGAGCCTTCCTACAGGACTTATTCATTAGCTGGGAGCTTGAAGGTGGAGCTGGCCTGGCTAGAGGTACACCACCCTGGTTTTGCCTGGGAATTACTAAAAGCAGCAGTGTAATTATCCTCCTTCCTCTGTCCTGCCCCAAGTCTGGGAGCAGCCAGCTCCTGTGGGGACAATGAACACAGAACAGAGCCACTAATTGCACACCAGGGTCCCTGGAGGATGGCCATATGGGCCTTCATCTTCTTAATGTGGAAGTAATCATGTAAGTAAATCACGTGTGAGTAAATCACAGACCTACTCTCATCTGTAATTTTCTGGGAGTCTCTCCAGCACTGTTTATTGGGGTGCATGGGTCTGAAGCCCCAGGAATTGGCTCTCTCTCCTCCCTCTCCAGGTCCAGCTGGCAAGAGGCCACACTGGATGGCAGTTGGAAGTGAGGCTGATGAGTCATCCCTGCTCTGCTGGGGCACATGAAGGTGTGGTGGAGGGCGAAGTCCAACCGAGCACAGCAGGAGTAGGGGGGCTGTATGAGAGGGTAGCCACTGGCCAGCGTGTGTGTGTAGATACATATGTGAGAGTGACCATGCATCTGCTGGCCAGCATGTGTGTGTAGATACATACGTGATTGTGACTGTGCATCCTCTGGCCAGCATGTGTGTAGATACATATGTGAGTATGACTTGCATCCGCTGGCCAGTGTGTGTGTGTAGATACATATGTGAGTGTGACTGCGCATCTGCTGGCCAGCGTGTGTGTATAGATACATATGTGAGTGTGACTGCGCATCCTCTGGCCAGCGTATGTGTGTAGATACATATGTGAGTATGACTTGCATCCGCTGGCCAGTGTGTTTGTATAGATACATATGTGAGTGTGATTGCGCATCCTCTGGCCAGCGTGTGTGTGTAGATACATATATGAGTGTGACTGTGCATCTGCTGGCCAGCGTGGAAGCAGCCCTGGGTTTGTGAGCGAGGAAGAGGACTGGCCTGAGGCCGTGAGTACCTGTGAACATACATGGGCGGGTGAACGTGTGAATCAGCATCCTTACAGAGGCTACATGACCCTGTGGGGTCTGGACCCACTGCCTCTCTGCTCCAGCTTGCCCACCCTGCCCTGCACTCACTCTGCTCCTCAGAAGCACTCCAGCCATGGAGGCTTTGCCCTGGCCCTTCCCTCTGCCTGGAAGGCCCTTTCCACAGACCTCAGTTCGTCTCCCCTTCAAGTCTGCTCCAATCCCACCTTCTCAGTGAGGCCTGCCCTGGATGCCCTAGCCGGCAGTACAACTTACACACCACCCCCAGCGCCCTGCCACATCTTGCCTGTGGTTTCTGTTGTGTGTGGCCGTCACTACCTCCCAGCACCCATACCATTTACTCATTTGCCATGCCTGTTGCCCGTTTTCCTCTCATAAGGACCAGGATGGTGGGTGTTTTGTTGATTGATGTGTCCTACACACCCGGAACGGGAGGATTTCTTTGCTGGCATAGCTGCCTCGGGCCTCGCATCTGCATGTAACATGGGGAGGAGACAGAAGCCATCCAGGTCATGGGGCTGCTGGGCAGGCTCAATGGTCAGATACCTGGAAGCGCTGACAGCAGCGCCTGGCACACTGCTCAGTAGCTGTGAGCCCTCGTTATCATGCCGCACTGCAGCCTGGAAATGAAGCCTGCATGAGTGATCCATGGAAGGCTCTGGTACAGCAGCGGACATCCCAGTGAGGGCTCCTGACAAACGCTCCCTGCCCCACTCCCACCCCATCCCTGACAAATTCGCAGGAAGAAAAATTCTCTGACCTTCCCCAGTCAAGGAACTCATATTTTGGGGATACCTTTGGGGTAGGAAATTATTTATCAGCAAATTTATATGGTTTTGTTTTTTAAATCAAGGGAAGAGGCAAGCAAGGCCCCATCCCTGCCTAGCCTGAGGCTGCACAGCGCCCGAGTCCCATAGGTAGTTAAGAGAGTGTGACTGGCAAGTACATCCTCTGAGGGGTGTGAGAGCTGCTCAGACCATGCGGGACCTGGAGCTCTGGCCTGAGTCTCCAGCCCAGAGTCTTCTCCCAGCACTGCAGACCCCAACAGGCTATGAGATGGGGGGCAAGTC